AACAAAATAACTAGTGACAGATTTTTGTTAGCCGACGAAAGTTGTCCTCAACTCTTATATGGTAAACGTCGTTGGATGCTCGTTTTGGAAAGGCGCTCTGTCCTGGACATCGGAATATTTCCCGGCTTGTGTTCTTTCTTAAAGAATTCAAGGAGTGAGTTAAAAGTGGTATACAGTGGCAAAATTGGTTCTAAAAGCAAGCAGTAGATTAACATGAACATCGACGGTGATCGCTTCTTGTCGACAAACACATCTTGAAAAGTATACGTATGTACTACCATTGTTCTTTGCTTTCCTTTAAGATTAAAGGTGTTTTCTTAATGTCAAGTTAAACGTTAGTGTTCGCTGCGGCAAAAAATAAATAAAAAAATGTAACAGCGGAAAGAATTCAACTAACTTTAATGTTGCTGAGATATTTGCAAAACTCTGGACCGCAGGTGTCTATGGTGGGGAACGAACGCGCTATTATCCTTTCCGGGGAGTAACGCGTTCACCACCACACCATGCGGGTCCTTTGTTTCGCACGTCTCTCAGCTATTTCTATATTCAGCTAACTTTCATGGCTCATTTTTTAGACGAAACTCGAGGCAGAAGAATTACTCATCTTGATACGTTAGCAATGAAGTTAAAAATACTTGGCAGGAAAAATACCAGCGCTTAGCCGCAGCCAGTCGATGGCTTAGCTCCGAGTTCTGGTCGAACCAAGCTCTTTCGGCGACGTATCACCTATATCACCTGTAGTCCTATCGATCGTCGAGTGACCCGAGCGTGCGCCAGTAAATCTTCCATTTTTCTCTGTCGCGTGCAAAAATAGCTCAGTGCGTTCTGCTTGCTGTAGGGACTTGTCAAGCATCATGTCTTTCTTCAAGACTCTTTGTGAAGAACTCTGACCATCGGGTCGGTGGTCCTCCCGTAGTACGTTTGACATCCCGAGGAATTCAGTTACTAAGGGCTCTTGTCCATCGGTTGCCATTCATACACATTAAGTGTTCGGCCCACCTTATCTTCGACTGTCTAGCGTACAGAACGACATCTTTGATTTTTGATCGTTGACGCAGATCGGAGCTTCGGATCCCATTCCTTGCTTGTGTGGAACGGGATACTCCTAGCATCGTCCTTTCGACTGCGCGTTCGATACCGCTGACCTTTTGTGCTACTTACGCAGCGGCCAGGTTTCTGACGCATACGTTAGGGCACGAAGTACCGCTGAGTCGAAAAGGTGGGCAGGGATTCGGGTGTTCTTTATTCTCTTCACTACATCTTCGATGCCCTGAAGGCTCCCCAATTCGCTCGTTTCCTTCTGCTCAACTCTGGGCCTAATTCATCATCATGTTGATTTCGCGACCTAGATAGGCATGACTAGAGCATTCGGAGATATTCGTTCCGTTGAGCGTGAATGGGGCATGCGAAACCAAACCGTTCTTCATGAACATCGTTTTTGTGAGATTTAGTCGAAGACCAATCTTTATCAGGCTTTATCAAAGTCGTCAAGCATACGTTCCGCTTGGCTAATGTTTGGCGTTATAAGGACGATGTCATCAGCGAAGTGAAGATAGTGTAACTGCCGACGATCGATTTTCACTCCCATATTATCCCATTCCAATGTTCGCATGACATTCTGGAGGCTGGCGAGAAATGATTTTAACGAGATGGTATCGCCTTGCCTAATTCCTCTTTTGACTTCGATGGTAATATCGTTGTAGAATGGTGATATCTTAGTTGTGAAATTTTTGTACAGCTCACGAAGAATCTTTATGTAATGAGTAAGTACTCCTTGACTATCGAGAGCTTCCATGACTGCTTCTATCTCAGTTGAATCAAAGGCCTTCTGTAAATCGATGGAAGTGAGACAGAGTAGTCTTTTGTACTCTCGCAATACTTAAATAAGCTGTGTTACCGTGTAGATGTGGTACATCGTATCAAATCCGTTTCGAAACCCTGCTTGCTCACATGGCTGTCCTTCGTTTAGTATTCTGTCAATTCTGTTTAGGAGGACAATTCTGTTTAGGAGGACTGCTTACGAGGACTGGCGTAAGGTTCTTCGAATGTTCAAGTCTTATCTCTCCAACCTGATTTTATTCGATTATTCTTCGCCAACGGATCTTGTCGGATTTTGGAGAGGAATCGGTGGTACAGCACGCCCATTCTCCTTTATTTCGTATTAGACAAGGACGACGTGGACCAAGTAGTAATTATGAATGGTTTTCTCTATTGTCTTTCTGGAAGCTGTAACTATTCCGTCTGGGCGTGGGAATTCAATAATCTTGGTTTTGTAATTTGCGAAGTTTCGATGGGCTTTGCGAATGCTTCTTCCATTCTTTGCAGCTCTCCTTAAGGTTTTCCTTAACCGACTATCTGCATTGTTTTGCAAGTTAGACGTGAGTTGGTGGTTTCCTGTAGCTCGTGCGATTCCACGCTGGCGTATCAGCTCGAGTGTTTCTGGAGACAGACGTCTCTTGGTGACTTTCGAACTCTGAGCTTTCATAGCGCTAAGGTGATGTTGAATGAGCCGCTCGTATTCTTCGTCTATTTTATCGACAACAGCATCTTCCCAACGGCCGACTAGTGAATTGTATAAGCCCCAGTTTATGGTGGTTATGGGACTTGGGTTTTGAATTTAGTGGTTTTTCTCCTTTCCGCTCGAAGCAGAATCTTTCACGAAGGAGGCGATGGTCCGATCCCGTGTAGAATTTTAGAACAACAGCGAAGGTGTTGACTGAGCTGATCATATTCTTCGTCGATGTTATCGACAACAGTGTCTTCCCAACAGCCGGCTAATGAATTGAATAAAACCCAGTTTACAGTGGTTTTGGGACTTCGGTTTTGGAATTTAGTGGCTTTTTCTCCTTTAGACGAGAAATGGAATCTTGCGCGAAGAAGACGATGGTCTGATCCCGTGTGGAATTTTGGGACAACAGCGACATCGGTTAGGCAAAACCTTCTGTTTACTATGATGTGGTCTATTTCGTTATGGTACTCTCCATTGGGAGACTGCCACGTCCGGCGCTGAGGGTAGGGCTTCTTGAATTGCGAGTTACCATGCGAGTCTTGGTCGCCATGGCAAACTCAGACAGCCGCTCACCCTGTTCGTTCCATTCTAGACCGTGGGTCCCAATGTGATGTTCTTCAGACGTTTTTCTTGGTCCAGTCTTGGCGTTGAAATCTGCAATGATGACCTTGAAGAATGTGTGGTCTACTATGTAGAACTTCTCCAAGTCCATATAGAACGCTTCGACTTCTTCGTCATAGTTTGATGTCGGCGCGTAAACGGCGAAGATTCTCAAAACCGGAAATAATCCACGTTTTCTTAATCGTAAACGTCTGATTCGGGTTGCAAGTTGCTCGAATGAATCGTTGGTCGTGGACAAACTCGTGTTGACGAGAACACCGAAGCCGGCGACTCCCTACTGTCGCATGTTCCGAGGAATAGTTCCTCTCCGGTGTCATAGACAGCGTTGAAAGGCTGGCGTCTTCTCGTCTCGGCCAGGCCAATGACATTGTACCCTATCTTTCTTGCTTGCATAAGCAAGTCTTCTATGGAGGACTCGGATGCAAGTGTACGGTGCATTGTAGGTATAAATCGTCACCATAGTTCTTTGAAATCCAAGCAGCTTCCATTGGCCCTGAGATTTTAGCAGCCTCTCCATACTCGTCCTACCCAACGCGGCCGATTTGGGGGCTCTTTCGGGGTCAGGGGAATGAGGCTCGTTTTTTTATACTGTGTTTAGCATTTTTGATGCCCACGTATAGCTTGCTGGGCTCTAAACGTGGAGGCGGGGTATACTCACGGGTAGCTTGCCAGGCTCTCCCTGAGTGGACATGGAGCTCATTTGTTGAACGCGACTCCTAACCACCTCCCATATACTTCCCAGTCACTTCCCAGATTACAGGCTTTTGGCCGAATTGACTCGTAGAATACAATCCGTATTAGCAAGGACGCACCCACACACGCATGCATGAATACGCCTAGCAAATACAGAAAGTATGTGCCAAATCAGCGCAGCAGAAACAGAGAGTCCATAACCTGAATCCACCTGAGTCTCAGGGAAGCAAAGGTCGCTTTTGGTCGGCGATTAACCCACTATCCGCCACCTGGGAACGCGTCACGTAGCATCGTGACTTACCGTCTCGAGGTCCCTCATATGAGTGAGATCCATGGTTTCGGCGACATAGGGACATGAATCTGATGTCTTCACTTGTGAAACGCATTTCATTTGTCAAGGACGGCATTCTTGTTGACGAATGATCTAGTACTAAAAGCGTAAAAAATAAAGCATTCAGCTTTAGTCAGCCCTTAGGCGAAGTGTTTTGCACTTGACTCCATTGAATCTCGCAGAAGTGACCGAATGTATGCACGACGATATGCTTGAGAGTAATGTTGTACCTACTCAGTGTTTTCATCTTCCTAGGCTATTCTGTACGAATTGGCCTGAATCGCGAAAGTGGGGTTAACCCGTGGCGCTGCAATGAACGAACGACCACTTGTGGATTGTGGAGCGTCTCTAACTATTGCGCACTACTTATCCCTTTAATATTTAAGTAAATAAGAAGATGACATAGCGGTTGAATGTAGATCTCGGACACCAGTTTTTCCAAATCCCTTCTTTTATGAAGTGATTCGGCCATCGAGAACAGTATTTGCTTCAACAAACGTTTTTCGCTCCATTTTTTAAAATCGGTGTCTTCACTAAGACAATTTGTCTCTAGCTCGTAATCCTCTGTACGGCACTCTTTTCAAGTGTGTTTTGGACTATTTGGTAAGTTGTTTTAGGAGACCATAATGCTTTTTATATAACTACAATGGTTTTCGAATCTCAAAGCTCGCCCAAGAGCCCGAGTTTTCACTCATATCTCAGCGTCGTTGTGGCTATGTTTCACGTAATACTCTGGTGTGAACAAAAAGAGGCAGTAAATAGAAGTTAGACATTGTTTTTTAGACAGTCGATGTGATAGTGGTCGGTGCTGGCCTGACGGGGCTCAGTGCTGCTCGGGAGCTGAAAATGCGTAGGCCTGGTGCTCGTGTTATGCTCATCGAAGCCAAAGGTCAGGTGGGTGCCCTTTCGAATCTCAACGTGAACCGCACGAATACAACCGATTCAAATCATTTGAAGGTGTTTTGGCTTATATCGGCAGCTTAGTGATTAAAAAACTTGCAGTAAGTTTAGCGCTGTTAGATGTTGCCTTTTGTATCAGGCCATAAAATGTTCTTTTTACTGGAACAATAGAATGATGTTCAATGCAATTATCGATTTTCGTACTGTCCATTTAACACTCAATTATGGTTTGCAGGCACTTTTCAGGTACTGTAGGTTCCTTAGAACTTTGCAGAGTCGTCGACTTCAAAATGTTGTGTGGTGAATCGAAAACTTTTATTGGATTTAGGTTGGCGGAAGAGTACGAGCGAAATTAATGAAGACTGCGGATGGCGAAAGCCTTACTGATATAGGTAGGTACAGAGTTAGATGAGGGCCTATTTATTACTGTATTCGTTCACAGCTCTGAAGAAGGCGAAAGTCATTAAACGTCAGCCATCGAAGTCCCACTTGTATTCGTTCAGTTTTGATTTTTTTCATCAATACCTATATTTCTATCAACTTGTGTTTTTTTCAGCTTAAAATAGATATTTACGTGATCAGAAGACGTTTTTAACTGATGGTCACTTTAGTGGCCACGTAACTTTCTAAAAACAATAATCGGGGCCATGCCCAAGCCCATTCGTGTTCTTTAATGCACCGCTAGCATGACCATACGATGGGAGATAACGAAGGTAGCATTCCTCTGGGTTCCTCAAATCGCCCCGAAACTCACTCGGGAAAAAAAGGCGACTTCATATATCGCTAGGCCAAATATAGAAATACATTAAGTCTCCTGGATGCATGCACAGCGCATCCCTCAGGGATTGATGAAAGGCGAGAGCTTTACCTTTTTAGCCAATCAATAATGACCATACCCAGACCCACTTTGAGTTACGAAATCTCAGCTAATTCGTAGTGAATACAATGATCGGCTTCAAACCAGATAAAACATTTTGAGTAGGAATTTCTTCTTACCTAGAAGCGCATGATGGAAATTCGGTAGCAAGACTACGATCCCATCATGAGAAGCAGAAACATTCACTCCTAGAAGTGTAAAGACTTTTTGAATTGACGTCGAATCTTACGAAGTGAACCTCTTGATCCTCTGGCTAGTTACTCTATTTCTTCCCTACATAAAAATTTCTCAGGCTAGGGTTTGCTATCCTATCAGTCGATACTTTTGGGATCTTAGGGATAAGAAAACTCAGCTGAATTCGAGCAAATATTGTACGTAGACAGTGCTAGCTTGTCAAAAACTCATTAACTACTTTTCTGGGCTTCGCTTTACTGGGTTCTGCATTGTGATGAAGCAGCGCTGCTTGCAGGTGCACAGTTCGTTTCGCCGTCGCCGTCGGCGCTGACCTCGCTCGCCAGCCAGCTCGGCTGCAGTCTGTTCACGCAGGCGAACTGTGGAGTGCGCACTCTGCACCTTCGTGGCATTCGTCACAAACGGTAAGAGGTCATCACCGTCCATGCAATTTTCTGGAATTGAAATTTTCGTGCCTTGGGTTTTTGAAGAAGTTCGTATCATCGGGCATATGCCCTTTACTCCTCTGCTTGAGGTGATTCTGTAGCGCCATTACATCATATAGTCGATTTTTCAGATAGTTCTCGTAACGCGTTTTCTAAAAATTACACTGCGTGTCCGAACTGCGTGACATCAGTCGCAATTCTTTTAAGTGGCTTAATTAGCTTTTGACTGCTCTATCAGCTCATTATACCCTTTTACGTAGTCAAGATTAAGATTAGAAACCGCGGAGTCTGTCTTTTGGGATGAAACTCCATCAAATGGATCTGAGAATCAGTCTCAAATAAGCATATGTGGGAAAATAAGCGGTGATTCTAAGGGATAGTAGAAACACCTGAAAAACAGGAAAGATACTCTCGTATAAGTGAATACCGGTCTTTATGAATGAGGAGAATCTTGCGGACCTCAGCGCAACTTCCATTTCAGGTGTAATTTGCCATTTGGACAAAATTTTGCTTTCCTTGTAGCCCGGAAAATCTTGTTAGGGTTTTTCTTGCCCGCTATCACTTGCCAAATTGTGACTACATTGTTTCCAGGATCACAATAGTTCCTGAAAATGGTTTGTTCTTCACCGGATTTCTGGTTGGAATGAAGCTTTCCTCTATATCGCAGTTTTACAGCCAGTTACGTCCGCTATCACGATAGGGCGGTAAACCGTTAGATACGGTTGTGATACTCAGTATCAGGGTAATGAGGCCTACTTATTTTGCTACGTGGTGAAAATCGACGGTCGGCAATCACACCATCTTTGCTTTGCCGATAACATCGTTCTTATAACACTAAACACTAACCATGCGGAACGAATGCTTGCCGACTTTGATAAAGCCTGTGGAAAGATTGGTCTTCGACGAAATCTCACAAAAACGATGTTCTCAGCAATATCTTCGAATGCATCAGCTAGGTCTATCTGGGTCTGGAAGTCAACATGATGGACGACGTAACTCCAGAGTTTAACAGGAGGAAGTGAGCGGCATGGTGATCGTTCAAGAGAATCGAGAATTTAGTGAAGAGCACAAAGAGCACCCCACTTCATGCCCACCTTTTCGACTCAACGGTACTTCCTGCCCTAACGTATGCATCGGAAACCTGGTCGCTGTGTAACCAGGATGAAAGATCGCTCAGCGTTATTAAATGCGCAATCGAAAGGACGATGTCTGGAGTATCCTGTGTTACACAGTTGAGGAAACGGATCCGAAGATCCGACGTAGGTCAACGATCGAAAGTCAGACGAGCCGTTTTACGCCGAAACTATCAAAGGTAAGGTCGGTAGGACACGTAATGCGTTGGAACGACGAGAGGTGGACAAGAGTCGTAATGATTGGGTCCCTCGGCGTGCCAAACGTACTGCAGAAAGACCATCGTAGCGGTGTACGGAGTTCTTCACGGAAGCCATAGGAGGATTTGATACTCGGCGATTCTCTAAAGCGAGCAGAACCCACTGGGCTACTTTTGCACGCGACATGGGAAAATAGACGATTTACTGGCTTCTGCTCGAGTCAGCGAGAAACGAAACGATGGGTAATACAGGTGGTGACACATAGTGACGATTAATCTCAAGTGGTACTTTAAGCCATGTCACGAACTTGATGCACAATATTAGTGAAGTTCGGCACACTGTGTTAAAGCAACACCACAATGTACCATTCAAAGAAAAAAAATTGAACAAGAAAGAAATTTACGGAAAGCTCATGGCAACGGAAAAGTGGTTCTTTGGATAGTTCGGTTTATACGGATTGTTACGTAAGCTTTATTCGGGTGATATTCCAGCGTCTTCGTCTTCTTCAAACCTATAATCCGAGTTTATGGTCCAAGTCGTGCGCCTTTACGGTGTTTGCCTTCGCAATCGTACCGAGTCCAATCTTCTTGGATGGAAGACCGTTCGTTAGCCGAATAAAAATCGCATAGCAACCTCGTGTAATCCGAACAGTCCAAAGAAATGTATTCATTATTGGAGCCAAGATTAAATGAAAATCGGTCCACTAGAGTACTGGAAACTTGACTCTCATTAATTACATGTTCAAGGCGAGGACAACAGGACGGGATTTTTTACTTGTCTTTCCCTCCTATTCTTTCTCGATGTTGAAGTGTTTTTAATCTTTGTAAGCAGCTTTTGCTGAGCACGTAAGGAGATATAATTGCTATTTCATAACCTCACTTCTTTGCCCACATGAAAAAACAGCAGGCCCCGTTGGAAACTGGAAGCGGTCTACCTGATCTGAAAATGGGAGGGACTTTTCCTAGTTTTTCAATCCCAAAAAGTCCGGAGACTGTTTTATCCCCTAGGCAGCGCGTATTTCTGGTTTGGAGAGATTTGCTAGTGTAACAGTTGAAACTAATGCCGAATGAAATAATTTCAAAGTTTTTTTCATTAGTTCCTGGACTCTGTCTGCTCATCGTTTTTTTAGCGAATTGGATTTGCTTACTACAACTCAATCATTCCGTGATGTTCTCGAATCCCCTGAATTGGTACCACTCTCATCTCAGAGTGTTCACGAATTCGTCGTTGAGAAACAGGTGTCACCAATCATCACTGACACCGCCAATCGATTACTGCAGGTACGAGATAGTCCAGAAGTTTCTTCGATATCGAAATGACGGAGTCGCTATGCTTGTACTTTCATAGTTCATTCTGGTTCAGTACCTGCTTAGCAACACTTCTAGTGCTGTTTTGGAGTTAGGAATTACTACTTATGCCGTGAAATAGGAACTTTGCCCCAATGATTACAATGAAACGCAGAACATGAAAATTGATTAGCACGTCTTGCCGATCAATGAATGCATGGTCTTGTTTCGTTTTTGCGCTTCCCAGGAGATATTCCTAGGACTGACCGTAATAATACTATAATAATACTGCGAAAGTGAAGTGGAGACGTTTTCTTTCCGTTACTTTCTACAGTAATCGGTTCGCCGATAGTTTGTGTGTGTGTGTGTGTGTGTGTGTGTGTGTGCGTGTGCGTGTGCGTGTGCATGTGCGTGCGTGCGTGTATGGTGTGTGTATTTGTTATCCGACATCATATTTGATTTGATTTTTCTCTTAACTGTGGGTTTTCTTACAAATCATATCGAGGAAATCTTGGACGTCGACGCTCAGTATTCCGCCGGTCGAATGCTCGCCATTCACTCCGTAGATTCACGCCATAACAGCTTGAGCTTTAAACGATTAGAAACACAACTAGGCTCAACCACTAAAAATGTGATAAGAAAGTTCTAAAGGGGAAATTCACTCCTTCCAGACATTGTACGACTCTCCTGATGTTTCGACGTCGATCGTTCATCTTCTACTGGCGACTGCCAGCGAGAACGCAACTATCGCCGATTTGCTTTCAAGATACGGACATGGTCAAGGGCTGCTTATGAAAGGAGGACTCCACAGTATGATTAGGCTGGTATACTAAAATTCATGCCATCTCATTTGTACCGTCTCATGTATTTATTTGTTTTTTTGGATTCATACTTTGTTTTCTATTCGTTTATTGCATTCATAACCTATCTCAGTGAATCTCTCATCAAGTGTATAAAATCTCCACAGCAGTATAAGACTAGGAATAATCATGAATCTAAAAAGGAAAAAAACTAAAATGTTAGTGGTTGAGTTTGGTTCCATAAAATAAAACAAGGGGTAAAGTTCTCCGCGTTGATCAATCGCTGAGGGATGCACCGTGCATTCGATTTCACTAAGCACCATTTGGAGGTGAGTGAATGCATATATGGCCTTTACAATGACTCGCGGTGGTCTGCTGATGTATCGAGCTAATGCTGCTATCCTCCCAGACAAATCTGGTACCAATCTGCCGATCCCGAAGGGATGGAGGGCTAGGTGGGCCACGGGCGCGGGATCGATCCCACGTGTGTGTTCCGGGGCGCCTCTGACCACTGCGCCACACACCTCCATTTGGATCCATAGTACTCAATAATCCTTTTTCGATATCTTTAATAGAAATGAAACTAAGTACTAGTCGTTTTTTTCCCATCACTATCTATTGATTCCATCACGTTATCAAAATTGCATAGTTTAGGGCGCTGGCAAAGAACCTTAAAGTCCAACTAAATGAGATCGTCACTGACATTGAAGAAGGTGATACAGCTTTTTTTTGTGCATACGACAAATAGCCACTTGAGGCATTGCAACAAACTCTTTCAAGACTTTTATCCACTACCTTACGTAACAGAAACCCTTCTTTTAAGTGTTTTGAATTTTAGTCGGATCAGTAGTGAAGTTGAAGACCACATCGCAGTACTACACAGCCCGGCAGGTCATCGTTACCGTACCTCCAGTGGTCACGTCGGCGATACGCTTCAGTCCTCCTCTGCCTGCGGAGTTCCTGAGATTCATCGGTTTGATTTAGTGTTAGTATGAATGTTACGAGACAATTCGAGTGCACTCGTTGCAGAGAGCTACGCTCCAACTGGACGTGCCTATTACTTCACACTAACCTATCCGAGCCCATTTTGGCGTGGGCAAGGACGCAACGGGCAAGTAAGTCTGTTTCACTGACTCCTTCTATGGATATGCTGCTAGAAACGACAAACAACATGTATGACATGTAAAAGTAACTATATGTGGAGTTGTAGAAGTGAATCCTTATATTTAATGGTGATCTACCATCAGAAATCTCCCAGATATCTTTAGCTTCTATTTTTTACATAGTAGGCTATTTTTTCTCGCTGAAGTTCCGAACTGACTAAGTTAATATGTATTCTTTCTTTGATGAGCTTACACGAGGTTGATAATTATGTTTATTTTCGGCTAACGTTTCGACGTCTTCGTCTTCCTCAGAGCCGATGATCCAAGTCGATGGTCCTCGCTTGTTATTCGTCTCGACGTGGCAGCTTCGCCTTCGTGTCGAGTCAGGTCTTCTTCAGTGAGCCATCTCCTCGAATGAGGCATCCTTACTCATCCAACCACTGACTATGTTAAGATGTTATGAGTTTCTTTTCTTTTTCCTTACAACGGGCTGCTGCAGAGCTTTGTCGATCGGAGAAGATTTCAGTAAGAAAGAGATTTATTACGGGGAGTTTATTCTTCAAATTTCTTTCCATTCCATCGCCGTTCCAAAGAATTACAGCTTGACGATAAACGAAGAAGGACGGAAGTAAAAACAACCTGTATCGACTAAATTTTCTTCTGTCCACGATTTTTATTCGTTCTTTCTCCACATTTTCTTATTGTGCTGCTACTCTGGGGGCGCGTTTGGCGCAGTGGTCGCAAGCGCCCTGCAACACGCACGTGGAATCGATTCCCGCACCCATGGCCACCAAGCCTTCCATCGCTCCAGGATCGGAAAATTGGTGCTATACTTGTCTGGGAGGATGGCAGCACTGGCTCGATACATCGGCAGGTTATCGTGAATGCATGGTGCATCCCTCAGAGATTGATCAACGCCGAGAGCTTTATCCTTTTTTACTGCTGTTGTGAAAGACGGTCCTTGTCGAAATTTTTTCACGGCCCATGGCACATTTTTGAACCGTCTTGTTTTTCTTTTCCGCCTTCATAAATTAAATATTGTAGTTCTTGTGTGACTATAGCAACGAGGACTGAACCAGTGAAACCATTTAGATGCTAACGCAAAGGCTTCACGCCATCAACGACCACACTGGTCTATTACGTTGTGATTTCCTCCATGAGTGGTCTAATTTATTGCCATCAGGTTTGCTGCAGAGATTCTGTTTTCATAATTGCTTATGATGGCAGCATTTTTTGTCCAACTGTGTCACCTATGTAGTTCTGGTCTCATGGAAAGCAGTCATTTGCAACGGATGGATGATGTCACTGCGCTTGTTGTCGAATAAAAAACTGTAAGGCATCATCTAGGAGCGCCTGTGGAGCAGTGGTTAAAGGCGTCCTGCAACACATATGGGTTCGATCCCGCGCCCAAGCGTCGCTAAGCCGTCCATCTCTCGGGGGTAGATATATTAGTAGCAGACATGTCTGAGAGGATAGCATCAACGATAAATCGGTAGACCAACGCGAGTCAATGGAGAGGTCAGATATGCATTCAATCACCGTAACAATGCTTGATGAAGTAGAATGCATGACGCAACCCTTAGGAATTGATTAAAGTCAAAAGCTAAGCTTTATTTATTTATTCAAGGCATCATCTGGATGGAAAATCCACGGCGGTTCAAGTTTTCGCTTCAACGTTTTGTTCGTTTGCTGACTTTGCAGATCTCGGTTATTGATTCTCTAATTTCGTTCATAAAACTGTACACCAAAAATTTCTAGAAAAGCTCTTATGTTTAATGATTATTTTAAAGATGCTCTAGAAGGCTTATTCTTAACATACAATTCAGTTAATCTATACCAATGCTCTCGGCCCTATTGTGTGGCTAACAACGTTCGATGTCGGCTTGCCAACAATGTGCGGTACGTGGGACCACTGAATCCCTTTGAGTGAAGTCGCATCAGTGCTTTCACTTTCAGACGGGACGGGAGCCACCGGAGTGCTTTGGGGAATCGCCCATTTCTCGCAGCAGATGACCACTTCACAACGGCATGCCGCCTATGTCGACATCGTCACCAGGTCGCTAGGAGACTATGGACAGCTGCCTCTTGACACCAGGTGGGCAGAACTTCAGATTCCAGAACAATGTATTCTTTAGCGTCGTCGTCCTTCATTTTTTTCTTAACTACTGTTTTTTTAGTGGAAATACATTATGCTACCAAATCATGGCATCCTCATGCGCTTTGTGATTGCTAGTTACACTTCTTTTTTGCAAGTGGACAAGTGTTTGTGGCTGTGTGACTTTCAGTGATGAGAATTTCGTGTCGGATCCATTCTGTCAGGGTTCGATTGCGATGCTGCCACCGAAATTTGACGTCGCTGGCCTCCGTTACATACGAGGAATAAACCACCATGGAGAGGTTCGCATTAGTTTTTACAACATTTTGAACACCACTTCGTCTGATATTTTATTCATTCCGAAATTGAACACAGCGAAATCTCAAAGTGGCGCAGAAGCTGTTTTAAGTTAAACCTCATTTTCTTCGCAAGTAATCACTCCACCTCCCCCTTTATGAATATGTCTTCTATAAAATTCGGCAAAGTACAACTTCTCCAGCTTCCCCAAGAATTGAAACCACCAGCATTTTTGGTGAGGAAACCGATTAACAGCCGAAACAATCAGCTTGTATGCTTTGCGCCATGCTTAAATGTCTTAGCTGGGCTGAGGAATGTCTGTTGAAAGACTTAAATATTAACCACCAATAAATTGGGAAGAAAATGGTTTCTAGAACTGCTTCAAACTTCGTCGGGTTACTTCAGAGAGTGGTCTTCGCATCAGCAGAGTACTCGAACACCTCAATGGGACTCATGAACGGAGCGGTGCTGTCAGGACAGCTGGCAGGTGCTTCTGTAGCGGAAAGGTTGCTGGACACCCAAGGTAGACGGCTTACAATTTTCTTTAGGGTTTTGATGAAATTAACTTGCTAGGAAAATGACCTTTTGTGAGCTTAACTGTGCAAATCACTACGTATAAAATCACTGAAGATTCAGTAAGGGTCTAAGAAGAAGAATCTTGAAATGCTTGCCGTCGCTGATCATTTCATCGCACAGCGGCATCATTTTTATTAAGGTTTGGGTGGAAATTGTCTCTTTTTTAAGAACTCATGAAGCCCAAATAACCTAAATAGAAGGAATGAGAATCCAACTATTTAGTCATCGGTTCCTCGACACTAGCGACTGGTGTCAAACTCAACGAAAGTTTTTTAAATGCTAATACTATTATAGACGAAGCAGAAGAGGACAACGAAATAGCTAACATGGTTCGCCTCAGCGATGAAATTGACAAGGTTGGTGAAAATCACGACGAGTCTGATTCTTTAGAAGAAGAAACGGTAAAATTTCGCCACAAATGCCCAGAATCCTCTGAGGGTTCTACCTACCGTACCCAATTTTTCAAATTTTACTATTAAATGTTCATTATGTCAATTAGAGGTCTTGTTTTCAAAGCCATTACTACAAGAGATCTGTTCGTCACTCATTTGCAGACTCCTAGAATTAAGGTCCAGTCGGATTTTGCCTACCAGACTTCTACACATTATCCCCCTACCACTCCAGCAGACATGAACACATTCAAGCATTTTAGTTTGGGGAACACCAACGGCGATGTAGACAAAAGTGGTTAGTGGAATATAATTTATAAACTGAGCTCTTATCCAAGTTTTTTGTGTTTTTCATCAACTCAATTACGACTATCGTCTATGAAGAGTAATTGAGTATGAGTGTGACCGTAGTAAATGAGAATTACTAGGAACAGTTGAGCACGTCTGTAACGGAAACGTCCACAATTACCTCTCCAGTTGACAGAATAAGTGAAACACCCTAGGTAATCGGGCTATAGAGATGTCGTTTTCAAAGTGTCACGCGTGTAGCCCATTGCTTCACGGTGTTGAAACTCCTATAGATTAGCTGTTGAATACTTCATGTGGCTGATGAAGACCTATAACATGTCGAATTGAACTATCGTAGATAGCATTGCTTTTCGATTCATCAATAGGTGATATGGAAGAACGTTGGCAGAAGTCGATGGTCGACTTTTGTTGCAGACACTCAGGTGACTCCTGGCTACACGATGGGCTTCATGACATAAGGTGAATGCAACTGGTAAAAAAGAACGGGAGAAAACCTTCAGGTTGCATATGCAGCTTAAATGGCTCTATAACTCGACATGAATCTGTCCGCTAAGCAAGGATTCTTGGCTTCTGCAGAACTCGACATTTGAGAACCATTCACCGGTTGTCGTGGCATCGCACATCGCATATGGTGAAACAAAATTTGTGCGTTTATTGCGGATAATGACGTGTGATAGTCTTCCATAATTCTTCTATGACTGGATTTACTCGTCATAACGTTCTCACTTCTCACTTCTTCAGTACATTGTAAGAAAATATGATAATTTTCGGCATCCTATAGTAAAGTTACCTAGTAGTCCATAGAAAATAAAGATCTCGGCGTTGATCAATCCCTGAGGGATGCGTCACGCATTCGACTTCATTTAATATCGTTGGAGGTGATTGAATGCATATCTGGCCTTTACAATGACTCGCGGTGGCCCACAGATATATCGAGCCAGTGCTGTTATCTTCCCAGACAAGTTTGGTACCAATTTGCCGAAGCCCAGGAGGGATGGAAGGATTGGTGGGCCATGGACGCGGAGATCGACTCCATGTGTGTGCTGCAAATTTTAAATAGGCCGATCAGCTTGCCTCTCAATGCTTTACCGCCTCATCGAGCCTGGGAGGTATTCCTGGATGTCGGACTGCGATGTACAGCGGGTGGGATTCATCCTCCTGGCAGGATCTCCCAAGAAGAACAAGAGTCTGAGAAGGAGTCCGGCGTTTCCATCGAGAAGCCTACCTGAGAGTAAACCAATGCCAGGAGTCACCACCGCCCTGGTATCAAGGTCGCATGGTGGTAAATTTCCCTCTGATCCACAATGGCAACGACTGCCCGTGGTGGTGAAGACTTGGGGCAGACTTGGGCAAGCTGACCTCGGGACTCCAGGGAACCATAATGGCTTAACCGGCTAATCTCCGCAAAATGGAGATTATGCTGGGGCCCGCACAACCAGTGAAGACGAGCCATTCAAGTATCAAATATCAAGATCAGCTCATAGGTAAACCTCCACATATGGTCGTACACATATTGAATTCCGTCTGAGAAAGACTACCTCTGCTTGCAGTGTGAAACGGTGGTTTATTTTGAGATGATTTAATTCGTAGACTGTAGATGAATAGGCTGATTATTTCCTTGAAGCAGTAGGACCCAGTCACTCCTTTCTTATAACAGTGCTATAGTTCTGTAGTTTAATGGCATCTCCTCAGCTATGAAAAAATCCTGTGTAAAATTGATCTTTGCAGAAGCCGACGACTATGAATTTGATAGTAATATGGATGTGGAGTCGGAATCCGTCCAAAGTTCCTTTGTCTATGAAACATCCAGCCAGTATCCCCCAACAGAGACGATTGAAACCTCAACATTCAAACACTTCAGCTTCGGAAACGCCGATCCAGGTTGGTAACAGAAGCCGCTAAGCTTAAGTTTGCAGTTTTGAACCGGGCAGAGCAGCGATACTCGTGCAGCCTTCTCTTCCTTCATTTTTAAATAAAAACTGCTTTTTATAGAAATGCCCACTCATTGAGTAAGACCACAGTTCGCAATGTTTGCATTTCATTTCCCTTTCGCTGTCCTGCCGTTTTCCCACAGTTTGTTTAATAAGAAAAAAAATAACTTCAACACCACTTAAATCTTACTTTTTTCTTGTTGGATTACACATGGAGCTGAGATGGTCTATTTTAAACGCTCCACGAGCAAGCCGTGACAAAATGTCGGCTACATAGTTACTCAAAGGTGGACCCCATCGTAGGGTGATGCTTAAAAGCAAACGTAGTCACAGTTATTAGTAAAACGATTGCTAATAAAGTTTTGCTTTGTTATAAGCCAGTACATGGTGGTTCTAAGAGACTTTATTAGGCTAACGTTTCGGTGCCTTCTCCCGAACAGCGACGATTCGAGTTTATTGTCGATAGCCGCTCTTCCTCGCGATATTGGTCTTCATAGTAGCGTAGAGTTGAATTCATGGACTGGAGAACCACTTTAATGAAATGAAGCGACTACCCAGTTGGTGGTAAGGAAGGGTGAAGCGCTCGGCGTTGATCAATGCCTGAGGGAGGCGCCATGAATTCGACTTCATGGAAGGTGATTAAATGCAAATCTGACCTATACAGTGATTTGTAACGACCTACCAATGTGTCAATCAAGTCAGAGTTTTTATCTCTCCATCGAAATCTGGTGTGAGTTTGGCGACTCCGAAAGGATGGAAGGGCTTTGGTGGCTTTGGTGTTGAGCTTTGGGCGCCGGATTGAACCAGCGGCCTATCTTTTGTGTAGTGCGGGACAACATTACGCACTGAACCACGTGCTCAGAAATCCACTGAAAGTGTGCGGTATGAATTTACTAATTGCGATGATCTTTGATGGAGTCGAATTTATAGCGCATTCCTGAGCGATTAATGAATTCCGAACGCTTCAACGCTCTACCGAGAATCCGGATTATAAAGTGCTGTTCCCTAAATAAGCGAACATAATTTTAACTTATTATTTACTGCCTACTCTTTTTAATGGCAGGGTATATTGCGAAATATAACTTCAATGATGCTGAGATATTTGCAAAACTCCGGACCGTAGGTGTTTGAGGTGGGGAACGAACGCGCTATTACCCTTTCCGGGGGCTAACGTGTTCACCACCACACCGGGTCCTTCGTTTCGTCTGCCTTTCAGCTATTTCTATCGATCAGTACCGCCAGTATTTTTTTATTTTACTTTGCAAATATCTTAGCATCATTGAAGTTAAACCAACATATTTGTGAAATATTTCTAGTAAATCGTAGTCATTTAAAGCTTTTCCACTGAATTTCATCCGTGAACATCACGTTACACTCCCTGTTCTCAACATTTTAACTCGCTTTGCATAAATTGTCCAGAGTTTATCACATGCGTTTATTTAAGTAAGCCGTTCTAATTATCAAAGATGACTTACCTCCACTTTATCGCCATTTTCGTCTTTTGTCACGGTATTCCTTCACCAAACAGCAGAGTGTAAGTGAGAAAAACTAGAGCAGGTCTGTGGAGAAGCCTCGATGTTCTCAACTGGCATAGGTACAACCTAAGCTGATACGATTCTTGCTAGCCAGGATTGCTTCTCCAGGGAAGCGTAGCACTGACTTAAGACTGAATGGCCCAGTTCGTACTGCATACGTATCTCAAGTCTCATTTTTAGATAGCTATTGTTCTGAGTGTTTTCAACACCTCTGCTTTCGAACTATGGCATAATTGTGCTGTCGCTTCAGTAGAAGAGTTCGTGCCGCCTTCACTCCCGTTGGATCCATCGGCGACGACCGCCGCGACCACCACGACGACGGAACGGACAACGTTCACTCCAGTCGATCCCTCTAGAACTACCACTCCTTTCGAATATGAGACTTCAACGGTCAACAGTATTCCACCAACTGTCGAAACAAGCACCTTCGAACACTTCAGTTTCGGAAATTCTGTGAGCGGTGAGTCACTGTTTTAGTAGCAGCACTTTTTTTATTTGTGGTTGCTCAATTAACATTAAGGCAAACAAGTGCTCATTTACATACATACATTTACTCAACTGATATTAATATTCGAATATGCAAAATGTCCTTAAAATCTACATAAGGGTTCGATTCCGGAGAGAGAGCCTTAGAAACGCTTCCACATCCAAGGTAGGCAGCAGATGCGAAACTTATAAGGTTAAAAATAATTCGATCAGAACTCGAGGTCTTATTTTTATTCTTTATTCACGAATAAGCTGACGTTTCTGCGGATTTCGTCTTTCTCAGAGCCTGGAAAGGCTAAGTTGACAGTAATCTATTCGACCAAGCACCTCCACAACCAAACAAAGAAAACGCTAAACCAAGATTTCAATCACATTGAACATAGCTTTGCACACTCACCGCTTTCTATGAGGCTTCCACTGACTATGTCGCGTGAAGACCAACAGAATTCACATGGAAGCGTAGTGTGCCCCTCCCATCAGAATAACAGTCTTATATACTGCCCAATATCACGCGTGATAATGAGGCATTCCTCCCTGCGGCTCAGTTTCGGATTCTTGGAATTAATCCAGAACACCTCGAAAGTTTTGGACGCCTGTGTTTTCGATTCGTGTGCAAGGATCGTAACCACTACTTTAAAATCTTCTCCGTTATGTCTCTGCATCCTATACTTGTCTAGTGGAGTGTTTGGTTTAAGTCTGCCGACTAGGCGTTCTTTTGTGCGGACACAAAGTGCTCTACCCGTTTCGCCAATGTATTCGTCTCCGCACGCCTTACAGGAGATCAGATAAACTATACTCGAGCTCATACAATCACCATTTCTACCATTAGGGTAAATTATGCAATTTTGCGTTGCACATAGAGGGTCATATACGCGGTTACGAACTAGCAAACCCCTAAGGATACTTGATGGCATTTCAACTACGTCAACCGCTAGACCCGACCTTTTTAAGCAGCGTTCTATAGCTGAAATTACATCATCTGAGATGAAGGGTAGGATAAACGTGACTAATCTATTGCTAGAGTTGTCGTTTGGAGGCCTAGGATTTCCCCTACACCTATCCCGAGCTACAGTTTCGTAGCCATTAGAAATGGCTATTTGCCGCGCCAAGTTCAGGGACTCCTCTCTCTGCCCTCTTCCCGTGCACACATTGGTTGCTCTTCGAATCATGTTTCTTACAAGCGCTCTTTTCGTGTTTTCGTGTAAGAGGGGTGAGAGGAGAGGTAATAAACCAAAATATTCTTACTACTTGGCTTTCGGTACTACTTCGCAATGTAGCCATTTTCTGACAGGTTAATTTGGACGTTCAGGAATGGAAGCCGTTTTTCTTCCGGTTTCTTTCGGGTGAACTTGATATACTCTGACTATTCATTCAACAACAAGAAACATTTGTCCATTTCCTCTTGTGTTGAGCAAACGACAAAGCAGTCATCTATACATATACAGCAGAGTAGCGGCCCGAGATCGGTCACCGGTGCTTCCACCTTAGACATGAATGCAATGGCAAGACTTGGTGCCAGTCGTTGTCCTATTGCCAACCCTCTTATTTGAGCGTAGTATTTTCCGGACCATCTGAAGATTGAGCAGCTAAAACATTCCTTTAAGAGTGTCATCATCTGTTCTATCTTGAAACCATACACGTTTATTTCTCCTTCATGTTGTGTAAGAAGTTCGAATATGGCTTGCATTGCGCACTCATTCGACACGTTTGTAAGAGCGGTAACGTCGAAGGATTCCATCACGCACGCGCGTGACGTATACGACTTAGGAACATTTTGGTGTTCGTTAGATGGGTGGAATGTGTTTTAACAACTGAGTAAGTATTAGAGTTAAAAACCACGTTATCCTATCCGTTGGCCCGTCTACACAGCTAATGATAGGTCTAACCTTAAATAACGATAGACGGTAGACGCAAAATCATCTCTGGATACTAACTTATGAGTTTTTATAAGCAGGTACAAGACGGGACATATTGGTAAGTCAACTTTTAGTTGAGAGATAACTAATGGTTTTAAACCAACAGCCTTTGGCCCATTCGTGGTTCAATTTTCGGTATTTACTTTTGAGATGCTTTTTCGTTATCTCAACATCTAACTGATGGGGAATTACGACAAACTCTCCACTCGTATCATTGGCGAAACGGGCAGACCCCTCCGTGTCTGCATAAAAAACACCTAGCCGGCAAACGCAAACCAAATACCCCACTAGACACGCATAGGACCCAGAGACATAACGGGGAGGACTTTGAAGTATGCGTCACGATCCTTGCACACGAATCGAAAACACAGGCGTCCAAAACTCTCGAGGTGTTCTGGATTAATTCCAAGAATCCGAAACTGAGCCGCAGGGAGGAATGCCTCATTATCACGCGTGATATTGGGCAGTATATAAGACTGTTATTCTGATGGGAGGGGCACACTACGCTTCCATGTGAATTCTGTTGGTCTTCACGCGACATAGTCAGTGGAAGCCTCATAGAAAGCGGTGAGTGTGCAAAGCTATGTTCAATGTGATTGAAATCTTGGTTTAGCGTTTTCTTTGTTTGGCTATGGTGGTGTTTGGCCAAATAGATTGCTGTCAACTTGACCTTTCCAGGTTCTGAAGAAGGCGAAATCCACCGAAACGTCGGCTTATTCGTGAATAAAGAATAAAAAAGACCTCGCGTTTGCTCAACAAGAATACGAAGAATTATACGATTCTGTTGAAACTCTCTGGCAATGCACACCCAAGTCACCGCTGATTGTCCCCTTTCATGGCTGCGCAAAGGCGGGCAATGAGAACAAATTGCAAGAAAATCAAAGACAGCGAATATTAAAGGGAACTCGATACACTGAGGCTCAATATCCGCTATACGTAATTGGACTACCGTATGGTCCGTAAACCGGGAGGTGCTGATGGTACGCTGTTTCACACAAATGAGGGAGTCCGCACTTCCTCAATACTTTCGGACGCGAAGTAGCATAATCCAGTGCGATGAAAAGGTGTCCATTTGATGCCTCTTGTCTGGAACTGTGCAGAAAAAGTGTTTATAGCTGAATTTGAAGCATATGAAGGTGGTAAAGGTCTCGGCGTTGATCAATCCCTGAGGTATGCGCCATGAATTCGACTTCATTAAATACCGTTGAAGGTGAATGAATGCATATCTGGCATTTACAATGACTCGCGGTGGCCCACCGATGTATCGAACCAGTGCTACTATCCTATCAGACAAGTTTGGTACCAATTTGTCGACCCCGGAGGTGGGCCGTGGGCGCGGGGATCGATTCCACGCATGCATTGCAGTGGCGCCTCCAACCACTACGCCTCACGCACCCTTTTTAAGTATATAAGAAGAAACAAATTTGCAGCATTTATGGCTGTAGTAACAATAATAACAATAACAGCGAAGTATAGAGACGAATTGAACAAATTGAACGAACTGGACGAACACTTCGAACACTGGGTGAACAATTAGAATACTAAGAAACCTAACTAATGAGCTGCTTATATTCTTTCTGTAATGTGGGGCTTTGACATAGGGAACTAGAGACAGCACTTAGAGAGAGGTTCTAAAAGTTTCTCGGCTATTACAGTCTGATAAGGCTACATTTACAGAAAGTTCGTGAAGTCTGTACAATAGTTTATGCGGAAAGTACATGTGAAAGCGATACAGTGGCTTACGCAAAAGTGGATTGGAACGGGAGATTCTGGAAAGTGCATGCAGCTAACAGTTACTCATTCAATGCCCGAAGTGTCGGACAAAGAAGAACGGTTTAAACAAAGAACTTACAAAATCCCTTCCCAGCCAGCTGCGAGGCAAGTGCATGAGGTGGTAGCTAAGAGACAATTTAGAGAAGATGTAAGGATAGATATAAAATAGTTACAAGTAAACAAGAAATAGACACTAACGTAGAAGGTAGGAGCTATTTAGGGACTAGTTTCTATATCACCTTTTCAAACCGCTCTCCCATCTCAATGCCAACTTCGTAGTAAAGTAGTCAGAATCTAGTATTCAGATATTTATATAGCTCGTGATGATTCTTCGTGGCCCAACTAGGTTCGCATTGACTGTTTACGGGTTATTTTTTCACTTTTTCCCCGAATAAGTCAAAAACGTCATTCATGTCATTGAACGTTCTCCAGCACTATACAAACGAGTTTTTTTTGTCGTCTTTTTATGATTCACCGTTAAAATCGACATTTTTTGCTCGTCCATTTGTCCGTTGCCCAACCTTCCGACGATCCTGTTATGGATGACCTATAGAAGTGGTTAATGACGGAAACCAAGTAGGTTGCGGGCACCAACTTTATGTAGTTCTATTTTGCATGGGCGTTTCCATCAGAAAGCCTAGCTAAGAGTAAACCAATACCAGGATCCGCCACCGTCCTGGTATCAAAGTCGCATTGTGGCGAACTCCCTCTGAACCACAAGGGCTGCGACTGCCCGTGGTGGTGAAGACCTGGGGCAGATTTTGGCCAGGCTGACCTCGGGATTCCAGGGAACCACAGTGGCTTAACCAGCAAGCCTCCGAAAAATGGTGATTATTCTGGAGTCCGCACAACCAATGAGGGCGGGCCGTTCAAGTATCAAGTAAGTATTTGCATGAACCAAGACGGTGTTCCGATACAATTACTGCAAACCGCAAAATTCGGCACGTGAAAATCCGAACGGGAATCTTGACTGCGATCGGATAGACACTGGGCTCTTAAGATTTTTATGCGGCCGTGTCGATAATAAGCGCTGTACTTATTTCGGCTGAAATAATACGTCAGTATACGAAATACATAGAAGCTCTATGTAACATTTTAGTAGAAACCACAAGAAACAACTATCAATTGTCTGTCTAGATGCAGCGAATTTCACACATGCAATTCGGAAGGGTATTGGTCCACACTTGAAATCAGCTAAGTCTCGTAGAGTGTTGCAGATTTTCTTCGTAATTTCTACAGCTTTCATCAACATTTTTCTACTTCTGTGATAAAGATTTCGTTCTATACGCCAAACAGTCGAAG